TAAACATAAATTAAACTACCCTAAGCAAGTTTAACGCCCTAAACACGGGATTAGGGGTTAACTTACTCGGCTAACGCCGGCGACGACGCGAGGACGACGGCGGCGGCGAGGGCGGTCCGCAGTGTCCTCGGGTTGCTCCGGCTCGGGCTCGGCGACCGGCGGACGGGCGACGAACAAGCGCGGCAAAGGGAGCGGCTGCTGTGGCTGGCTGTCCGGTGCGGCTTGGAGGCTGAGTCAAGCAAAAATGGAGGTTGGCGGTGGTGGTCTCAGCAGCCGGGACAGCGGCAGCGAGCGGCGAGGGCGGGCGTGGGCGGACCGGCGAGAGGCGCTTCTCGCACGCGGCTTGGGCGAACCGGCGACGGGAGGTTCCGGGCGGCCAGGGGTGGTGCCGCACGGCCAGGGGGAGAGCTGGGACGGGGGTGGTTCACGGAGGGGAGGAGTGGCGCTCGGTGGTGGCTGGTCCGGCGAGGACAAGCCGGCGGTGAGCAGCAGAAAAGAAGAAGCCAGGCGGAAGAAGAAAACCAGCGAAGGAGAAGAAGAAAAGAAGAAAAGGAAAGAAGAAAAAGAAAAAGAAGAAAGGGGAAATGATGGGGCTGGTGGGGTAGGTGGTGTCAGGCGCATGAGGGGGACCGGCGTGGAAAGAGAGAGAGAGGAAAAGTCAAATCGCAATAATCGCAATCTAACGGTCACGATTCAAATCCAAAAACGATCTAACGGTCCCCGAAAAAACCTAATTAATAATATAGGATTTGGCCAAAGGGTATTAATAAAAACACACCGCAAAAGAGGTCTACTAGGTATAAATCCGCACCTTAAAAAACTCACTTTCCACGTATCCCGCAATATCGAGATGACACAATAATATCGACACCGTCCAACTAAATTCGTCCTTAACTGAGAAATTCGACACCAAAGTTTGGGCTCTAAATAACGCTAAATTCGATCGAGTGCGATTCTAGCAAAATCTCAATTTTAAAAACAATAACCTGGAGTGATCGGCTTCCAAGCGAGATTTTACTATATAATACATCGACGAATTACACGTTTTATAAATCCCAAAACGGGTCGAAATTTAATGTCACACATATATCGTGTCCCAAGCTCAGCCTCGATATACCTAGACACGGCGATTGGGGTCTAAGGCAAAACCTAGATGGATCAGGGTGGGACACGGGACCCGCCCCACCGCTAAGGGATCGGGAATGAGGTTTGGGGTTCTCTGCCTAAGCGCAAAGTTTTCTATCGAAGCAGATATCTACAGTTAAATTCGGAAAATGATTTCAATTTTAGAGGAAATCATTTTCCGAATTAAAACTTTGGGAGAAAAAATCTTTTTCATCGACCACGAAAACATTTTTCGTTAACTCATTTTTCTAAATGATCCTAACGCCGGAAAATAAGAAAAATGTATTTCACGAAACAAATAGAGCCTAAAACCTGTATTATTACTAAGTGTAAAAGTCACAACACTTCAGCTACAGTTTAGTCACTAATTCTATCGAACGGGCTTTCAAGATAAAGCGAAAATGCTAATTGGAGCTGATGTTAAAGAAATTATTACGCAAAAGTTGACTTGCAGCAAATTGGTTGGATGATGGTGATGGCTGAACTCCCTTTGATTTGGACAGTTCCATTGGGTTTAGTAGCTAAAATCAATTAAAATCCTGACATCTAATCGGGTTTTGTGAAAATTGGGTTAAATTGATAAAATAACTTGTGTGAGAGGTGCTTTGTGATATTTTTTAAAACAATTATGGAAATTTCTTCACGAAGAAATCAACATGATTAAAGTGGTCTCTTGACTCACTTCGCAAAAGAAGTGAGTTTAACTGTTAACACTTAAATTAGTAGGTGTGATCACTCATGAAAATTTTGACACAACTGAAGTGCGGCTCGAACAAAATGTGAGCTTAATCATGGAACCAAAGAAAATTGGAATTTGGACACAATTGCTAAAAATTAAAATAAATTGATCTACTTCGGTAGATAATTAAATTAGAGAACCGAAATCTACACATCGTGCGATTGCAGGAAAATTACTTAATCGGTCATAAATCTATTGTATGGATTTTCTAGTCATAAACTTTTCAATTTTGCCAATTTAATCCTAAGCATTTGCACAAAATTTCAATATAGTCCTTCCGGTCAATTTTCGCCGAAAACTGCTAATGTAGCAATCCGGACAATGCTAGCCGTCTTACGTAACACACCGCTATATCAACGACTTTTGACCAAAATTGGTTCAAGACTAAAACTGATAAAATTAAAAAGTTTATAAGTGAATTGTCCATATAATATGTTTAGGATTGTGATTACTATGGCTAAATCTTACTTTAATTAAGAGAAAAAAAATATGTGTGGGACACTAATCAAATGGAGATTAACGCGCTAAGTTGGCTGGCGATGTGTAACCCAATAAAAGTTTCTTGGAGAGCTGGCAAAACCTAAAAGTCAATACCCCGAAAATTCAATTAAAAAAGGTGGATCGAATTACCAAATAAAAACAATGATTTAAGCAAGTACGTTTCTTAGCACGGAGTCTTCTTCGAGGTCATTGATCGGGCCTTCGCGGCTTATCTCATCTTATGAGGCGGACTCTATGAATGCATTTCTTACTTTAACATGTTAGTGCTCGTATGCCTCACACCTCCAATTCTCCATTGTATCTTTGTCATTCCTAGAAAAAGAAAATACCCTGTGGAAGTTTTACATTCCGTTAATCTCAAGATATGGATGAGGACTGACATAGAGTCTTTTAAGGATCTGCTCAGGTCCGATTAGTACATAGTCTTCTCCGAGGTCATTGATGGGGGAATTTTTAACACAGTCCAGACGTTCTAGAATAAGACTGGTGCAGTGACTAGCTGACCGGCTGATCTACAAGAAGTCTTAGCACGCGCTCTCTCGTATTCAAATGGAGTATCAATTGTTATTCTCCCCCTTGACTTTGACTTTGAGTGTTGATGATGAATGTTAAAAGAGAAGTCCATTCGAGATCTGTCCGGTACTGTTGCACATGGTGATGCGAGGGCTTTTTTGACCTTATGCACCATATTAAAGGAAGAAAAAACAACAGTAATAACTCTTTTAAGTAGAAAAGTGTTGACAATTCGAGCTTCCATAAGATATTTATCGATCAATTGAGTCATGTCACGTTATCGCAGAGATGTTTCGATGTGCTTACAAAGCACGGCGTTTCATTAAAAATTGGTGAAAATATGGCAATTCGTGTCGGTTTTGAATTAAATCGTGTCGTATAAATGACAATTTCAAGTTTCTAGGTTTAATGTTTGTTTGTGTTGCATGGAAATCATTATTCCTCTTAATACCGTAACATAGAATGCATAAGGGTGAGCATCGGGTCCAGTTCAAGCCAAAATCCATTGAAATTTTCCTAGTTGGTTCAAATAGAGCCGGTTCCTAAGGAACCTATTCGGTTCGATGGTTATGAGAACCTAGAATTGGCTTAGACCGATTCGGTTTTGGTTCTATCAAGAATGTTCTCGACCTAGCCAGTTCCAATTTTAAAACAATTTTTAATGTCTCAAATATTAATAAAAAGTTCTACATTCACCAAGTAGTTCAATTCTCGATTCCAAGACCAGATTTACCGATTCTATTGGGAACCGGTCCAACCAAGCTAGTTCCCAAGTGGAAGTGGTTTTTCAAGCTGCATATTTCTGTTGTTTCAACCAAAAACAAAAAATGGACTCACCAAGATTTGAAACATGGTCTTCAATATAAACTAGTGACCACTTGACCAAACAAGCTTTCTTGTTTAAAATTTGCAATTTTATACTTTGCAATAAATTCTAACCTTTTACCGAAAAAGAGAAAAAGTGGGCGGTTCAAGAAGCGGTTTAGTCATTGGATCGATTCTAAGTTCCAGGTCAGAAACTAACCTATTGTGGAACCAATCGCACTTTAATCCAATGGAACTGTGATTTGTTAGTCGAAAATGAATAATTTGAAAAACATTTTCCTAAAAATGATCGATTGTATCGCTTGAAATAATTAGTCATCGAAAATGACAACTTATGTCCAAACATTTTCATGGATGATGAAAATATTCTACGTTCATTCATGTTTGTAAACGATAAAATCAACCATTTTTAAGAAAATATTTTTCAAATCATCCATTTTTCTCGAAATAAATGGAGCTTTTATCGGCATTCATGAGAACAGGCATGAGTCCGATGCTATCTCAAGCAAGACACTTTGTGTATGCATTGCAGCAAGCACGTTACAATGCAAAAGGACAGCAAGGACGACTCCAACCCATTAGAACAACATTTATACAGTAAGGCACGAATTCGATGCCAATCAACGGATACACCTTGTGTATGGATACGTTCAAATGCAAAACAAACAACCAGGACGAATCCAATCCCATCAGAACAACATTCCAAAAAAATGAACCCGATGAGAATCAATCACTACACATTGTCCATATATGCAAGAACTACCTTCGAAAGAAAAGTAGATAAAGGGGACAGTTGGGCAATCGCTCGAGAGAAAGAGGCACCGGCATTATGGGAATTCTCTGAAATTAAAGATATCCCGAGCCCGGGCTGTCACGTAGCGTCCAGACAATGTCCGCAACACTGGTATGCGTGATCCGAACAACGGGACGGGACATTCCCAGGGAGCATAGGGAGCACAATTGCCATCAACAAGAGCGCGTGCGGATGGGATACGGATATCAGACAGCAAATACTTTTTAGTATATCAGTACGTCGTATTCCGAACGTATTATAGGTAGCATCTTCGATACCATGAAAAGAACTTATTATTGTATTTCGATTTATCCCATATTAATAAGAGGGGGGTGGGGGGTTTGGGTCGTCGGTCGTTCGCCGGGCCCCACAGCCGGTTCGGTCCGACAATAACGTCATGCGGTGCGCAAAATTTCCGGTCGTAAACCGCGTGGCGCGTTTGTTTGACTGCGCAATTCCGCCCCGTATCTTCTCCGCTCGCTTCTTCGCCGTCGTCGTCTTCGTCTTCCTCCTCCTCCTCTTCTCGATCTCGACAGCTTTCGTCTTCGTTGCGGGCGGTCTTCCTCTTTCCAATTTTTCTACGCCCACCTCTCCCTCTCTCTCTCTCTCTCTTTCTATATCCATCAGCCTCACGTTTGACTTCTCTGTCTCTCTGTCACACGCAGTTCCTTGCGAACTCTTCCTTCTGTCTCTCTCCCCGTTTCTCTTTGGTGGACGGGAAGCGCCGGACGGCATCGCGCGGGGGAGATCGAGCTCCGGCGACCCGAGGTAGGTACGTACTGCCCACCACTGATCTTGACCTCTCCCTCTCCCTCTCTCTCTCTCCAGAATTGAGGTTTCGGGCTCGAGATATGCGATTGCTTCGGCGAGTTTCTAGTGAATTGGACTTGGTGGGCGGGTCCGCGCGCGGGCTCTCTCTTTTGCTTCGAGTCTCCGACGTCGTCGTCGATCGGGTCAGCAGATTAGCCACTCTAGAGCCGAAATTCCATCTGGAATTGAGCTTGAGATCGAGAGACGGCGATTCCGATCGCGCGCGCGCGCGTCGAATTCGATGCTAAACTTAGGCCCCCCCCTCGTCCACCACGGTCCGCTTCGATGGGTTGTTGAATTCCTGATTGAGCTTTTTGTCTTATCCTCTGTTAGTTTCACCCCAGTTCTTCGCCCCTTTATGTGATTCAGGGCATTTGAGAAATTTGCGAAATTTGCGAATTGTACTGGGGAGAGTTCTCACGCTCCTCAGATTGCACAATCTCAAAGTTCTTCATGTTTTTGTGTTCTTCGAACTGTTCTGAAAATTAAGCATTGTTCGTGGCCGTGTCGAATATCAAGAAAATCTGAGATTGGTTGGTGGGGGGGGGCGAGTTCATTCTCTTGTCAATGTGTTCAGCGAGAAAATATTGTGTTCATCGTTCCGCTTGCAGACCAATTGTAGGCGCGTAAGTACCCTGTTTTCTCTGTTTCTAGAAAAAAGTTAACCCCTCTGCTGTTAAACACGTGTAGGCCCGGAAAATCATTAGGTAGCCCCGGCCTGTCGTCGGTCCACTTCACACGAGCCGTCGGATCGGGTTGGAAACCCACGCGGGGGACCCGCTTGATCTAGCGTCTCATGTGAAACGGGCTAGGTCGAGAGTACCCAAAAGGAGTTCCGTTATTATTATGGCATTTTGATTTCGATCCGTCTTTCCTTTCACATTTTGATTAAATGTGGTGAATGCACGACAGAAGTAAATAAAACAGTTATTTTGTTTTCTTTTTGAAGTAAATATTGCTTTTATTAGTTCTAACTGGTTGATGTATATTTTAACCACTTAGGGTGGGATTAGTACAAAAAGAAAATACAAGACATGTGTGACAATGTATGTAATATTGATGCTTAAAAACCATGCATAATTTGGTGTAATTAAACTACTTTTACTTGAGAAGCATTTAATAAATTTAAAATAAGTTAACTGATTTTACCGAAAAATATGAAAAAATAATTGAATCCAAAAAGCTCCTAATATCTTATTTCTAGGGGTGAGCATGGTTCCAAGTTCTATCCTGAAACCTGAGAACCTATAGGTTCCAAGTTCCAAGGTATGCAGGGTAGGTTCTAGGTTTCAAAAATTGGAGAACCTGTTTCGACGGATAGGTTCCCGGAACCTAAATAAGTTTTTTTGTGTTTTTTCTTGGTTTATGTCTTCATGTGATCCTGTGGTATTTCATAGCATTAGATGATGAATGTATAATCTAGAACCACTAGTCTGGGCTTTCATTTCATAACTTGTTAATGTTTCATATTTTTCGTGTATCTAAATACAAGTTGTGGTTAGTGGATCAAAGCAGCAAGTGGTGGAACCTATGTAAACCTTGGAACCAAACTGGAACCTATGATAGGGTAGGTTCCAAATTCCAAAAAATGATAAACTTATTCTCATAGGTAGATTCCAAGTGGAACCTGTACATAACATGGAATCATTGACCCCTAATATCGATTCACGTAATAACTTCTCATTTTAATTGTATATTTGAACCATAATGCCAGGAAAACTAGTCTTTTGTATTCTCTTTGGTGAATGACAAGCTTGTTCGGTATTGTTGCGTTCATTTTCAATTTGTTTAACTAAAAATGAAATATATAAAAAAAAAAAAACCTGTTAGACCCTAGAACCTGTGACAGGATAGGTTCTAGGTTCCAAGTTTCAACGGGTAGGTTCTAGGTTCTAGGTAGAACCTGTAAGGAACCTGGAACCGCTCACCCCTACTTATTTCTATAAGTGGTGAATGTCTGCTTTAATGGAAGTGAAAGTGTAAATTTGCTCGGAAAATGCTTTATTGTTGGTTTCCATTTATGAGTAGAAACTTGAAAAATGGAGAACAAAATTTTATATTCTAGCTTTTCCGATGCTAACAGACAAAAAAAAAATGGAAATTCATCACAGCGACTTTCGGGAATATGAATTCGGAACAACAATCACGTTATAGGGAAAAATATTTCGAAATATATGTAAATCGGGATTCGTAGCATATGCATAGGAAGTTTCATTCAGCTATAAACAATAGTACCTACATTATTTTCTCACTAAAGTTGAATATGTGAGTGTATAAAAGGAACCTTTTTTTGTGACGTAAAATATTTGAAATTTTTATTGTCGCGTGGGTCCATAGGCATGAGATATCAAGTTGGGATTTTTTTTGTGCTCATTAAGAAGTTCGCCCAGTAATTCAATGCCGACCCTCTGTGATTCTGGAGACGAATTACTACTGCTCCTACAGCATCCATCTCTGGTGGGGCTGGAGCCATGCATGTCCGCAAAAAAAAACAAGGATGACGATGCACACGATCGTGTCGTGGATTGCCCTTACCGGACGTCCAGTTCGCTCTCCTACTTTATGGATCACCGGCGCTGCTGTCGCAGCAGTCTTGTTATGTGTTCATTTCGCGGCTTCGGAATCAGTCCAGGACACGGACTAGTTGACGTCCAAGAACCGTGGCGTCGGTCTGATATGTTTTGCCTTGTTTGATATGAAATCGTGGATGCTTTTCTCAAGGGACCCTTGATTTAGGTGTGAAAAGCTCGAGCGAAAGTATGATCCAGACATCACCGAGCCAGTCCAAGACCAACCTTTTTGACTTTACACATCGTGAACCCTACCAAACCGCCCATCTTAGAATGGTTGCTGTATACAACTTCACACGTAATTCTTTTGCTTCCCTCTGTCACGCCCATTAGGCCTATGATAAAAAGAGTTGATTTGGTATATATTGGTAGGTTTGAAATCTACCAAGTGATTGTTCTTGAGAATTTCTTTGCTTTTCGCTCAGGTCTTTCCAGTTTTCACACCAAGAGCTTCATGTTAGAACTGTCTATGGTCTTTAAATTTCATTTGCATTGAACATCAGCTACATATGTTTCGTGGCTTTAGAGATATACTTACCAGTTTCTCCTTTCTCTATGATAAGAAGCCTCATTAGGAGAACCGGCAGCTCCATTTTCTCGAAGAAATGGCGAGGACAATCCGATGGGCGACCACTCAGGATCTCTTGCTTGTTGCTGTATTGATTGTACTTCTAGAACTGGCGGTCGGAGATCCAAGAACCCAGACTGTCAAGATGACATGCTCAGCCGTGCGAGAGCACAACGCCACTCTCTTCGTGCCCAACTTTGTGACTACCATGGAGAACATCAGCGACCAGATGAGGACGTCCGGCTTCGGAATTGCAGTGATAGGATCGGGGCCTGACACTAACTATGGCCTCTCTCAGTGCTACGGAGACCTCTCTTTGCTCGACTGTGTCCTGTGCTATGCAGAGGCGCGTTCCTTGCTTCCGCAGTGCTACCCTAACAACGGCGGCCGCATATACCTCGACGGCTGCTTCATGAGAGCACAGAACTACAGCTTCTTTGAGGAGTACATGGGGGCTGAGGACACTGCAGTGTGCGGGAACGTGACGCAGAAGGACACGGTGTTTCAAAATTCAGCAAGACAGGCCGTGGCGAGCGCAGTCACGAGGGCGCCGAACAACAATGGCTATGCGCGTGCTGAAGTAGCCGTGCCAGGGACAGCAAATGAATCGACTTATGTGCTGGCGAATTGCTGGAGGACATTGAACGCCACTTCTTGCAGGTTATGCTTGGAGAATGCATCAATGTCGATGTTGGGGTGCTTGCCCTGGTCAGAGGGGAGGGCGTTACATACAGGTTGCTTCATGAGGTACTCCGATACAAATTTCCTCAACAACCAACCAGGAAAGGGGAGTAACAGAGGTAAAACTGCATCTCAAGTGATCTTATTTACCTTTGAAAGAGATCTGTGCTTGTTTGACTAGCCAAAAGACAACAATTCAACGTTGGTTTTTTCCTTCCAGGAACCATAATAGTGATAACAGTTTCAGTTGTCAGTGCTCTGGTTGTCTTGGCAGTTGGAATAACAGTAGCGTACTTTGTCTGGAAGCACAGATACATTCAAAAGAAAAGAAAAGGTAAGAAGCTTATCTGTTCGTGAATAATGGATTATGTAGTTTAAGTGTGCAAATGTCCCACAAATGGAGGAGATAAAAAGGAACAGCACAAACCTGGCATGAAGAGAACTTTCCGAAGGTTTAGTTTGCTCTACTTAATGTTAATTCCGGCATGCCAATAGCTTCCAGTTTTTGGGTTCCATCAAGAGTCGCATTCATTGGATTTGTAACAGGGAATTGGAATCAGGACCAGTATGGTACTATTGGTAAACAGTATAGGCTATACATATAATGATAAATGGATACCTGATGCACCTATTGATCTATCTAGGCTCTAACCACGCGGAGAAGTTTGTCAAGATACTTCACGACAGTAGCCTGAATTTCAAATACTCTACCCTCGAGAAGGCCACCGGATCTTTCGACAGCGCCAATAAGCTCGGCCAAGGAGGATTTGGCACTGTCTATAAGGTGATTTAGCTGCCTTCTCTATCTCACACTCATAGCAGTTTATGCAAAGTTCACCTACCTAAACAGAATCCGAATATGTTGCCAGGGAGTTCTTCCCGACGGAAGGGAGATAGCTGTGAAAAGGCTCTTCTTCAACAATAGGCATAGAGCAGCTGACTTCTACAATGAAGTGAACATTATAAGCAGTGTGGAGCACAAAAATCTGGTCAGATTGTTGGGATGTAGTTGCTCTGGACCTGAAAGCCTTCTTGTCTATGAGTTCCTCCCCAACAAGAGTCTCGACCGTTTCATTTTCGGTAATTCATTGCTACTCATACATAGAAGTGTACACACAGTGACTGTTTTAGCTAAAAGAAGATTTGAGTTGATGAAATTCTTCTGCCAGCTCTAATCTATCTTACTTAACCCTGTACCGACAGATCAAAACAGAGGAAAGGCATTAAACTGGGAAAAAAGAGTGGATATTATGGTTGGGACCACAGAGGGTTTGGTATATCTTCACGAAAACTCCAACATCAAGATAATTCACAGGGACATAAAAGCCAGTAATATCTTGTTAGACTCAAAACTTCGGGCTAAAATAGCTGACTTTGGGTTGGCCAGATCTTTCCAGGAAGATAAGAGTCACATAAGCACAGCCATTGCTGGAACATTGTAAGTACTCACTTTCTTTGCTAATATTAAGACGATAAACAAAGCTTCTTTAGATGTCACATATTGTAGCGTTGATGAGTCACGGTATGTTAGCTTATGCTGGTAGAGACTAATCAGAACAAGATGATTGATAATAAGGTCTCAATATTGCAGTCTAAGCATGTATATCCATATTACTGATAAATAACTTTCTATATTATATATGGTAGGGGATATATGGCTCCAGAGTACCTAGCACATGGTCAGCTTACAGAGAAAGCAGACGTCTACAGCTATGGTGTTCTCTTGCTGGAGACTGTCACAGGAAGACAGAACAACAGAAGCAAAAACTTAGAATACTCAGACAGCCTCATCACAATTGTGAGTTCTAAAAGCTTTATGTGTTCTTAAGGCACCACTCTAAACTTGTGCCCAAACCTTTCTCATCTTAATTATCTTCCGTGTTTGGGTGACAGGCATGGAACCATTTCCAAGCAAATAGAGTGGAGGAGCTTTTCGACCCGAACTTGATGTTACATAACTACCACAACAGCAATATCAAGAATGAGGTCTTAAGAGTCATCCATATAGGACTATTGTGCACGCAAGAGGCTCCTTCTTTGCGGCCAACAATGTCCAAGGCATTGCAGATGCTAACAAAGAAGGATGAAGAACTCCCACCACCCACCAATCCCCCTTTTATAGACGAAAGGACAATGGAGCTCAATGACACGTTTGACGACCCATCTTTTCCACTGAACCCTAAAACATCGGATTCAATTGCCACCATATCAAACAGTTCCTTCCAGCCTAGGTGAATTGTGGATATCTATTAGTGGGCAGTATCTCACCTGACTAATAAAGATACACGAAAGAAGAGTCGATATTCATATATCTAGAAAGAACCAACTATGGAGATCAGGGGCTGGACCTATTCGGCCTGATGATGCAAGCATCCAGACAGGGAACATAGTGATGACCATCAGACAAAGGGCGAGTCAACAAGCAGTTGAAGCACGAAGGTCGGCACCATCTAAGTCATTTGTAGAATATCACCACTTTAGTCGGAGGATACCTCAAATTGAGAAAGTGCATTAAGGCAGCTTCTGCAATTTTGAAGGAAAGAAAGGGTGTATATGAACATAAAAATAGCTAAACTATACAGAGTCATGTTTTGATTGCTTTGTATCGAGTCACAGACTGTACAAACCATTCTTTCCTAGAGCTTCACTGTCATTCGATGATACCAACATATCATCTTTCTCTTCAGAATGGGCCAGGGCCATTATATAAACAGAAAAATAAGTACACAACCATTTACTGCAGAAATATACATTAATGAAAAAACAATAGTAACCTTTTGGGCGTTGAAGAATAAATTCAAATTTTATAACATCTCCATACAAAAAAAAAAAAAAGCAACAAGAAAAGCTTTTTGGGTAAAATTGTCAGGTCGCTCGCTCTAACGTGTCGCAACTAAGATCCCCATGAGGCCTCCGCTGATTTCATAATGCTTGCCATTAGAAAATCCAGATTCTAAAGCAAGTTTCTCCAACTCCTGACCTGAATCAGAATGCCAATCTTAATAAACCAAAGAATTATTGAGTGCCCTACACTTAAAAAGAAGAAAAAGAAGAACATTCCCTCCATCCATCTCCTAAAAATCTTCTCAATGCATGCATCAGCTGACTCATATGCTCACGAGAAAGAAGGAAAAAAAAAAAAGTTTTTCGCAAAGGGATCTTACACGAAAGCAACTTGTTTTTGGATAACAGAGAAAAGTGTTGTTGTCTAAGTATGATTCCCCAAAAACATGACAAGAGAACTGGATTAAGTTTCATCGACTCAAAATACGAATCCATGTGTCTAGCGGTATTAAGAAAAGAACTTGATAAGCTTAATAAGCCAAATGAGGTAGTGGGATAAAATTGATGCACAATAAAACCTCAACGCAGAACTAACCTGTTAAAAATTCGTTAATCGAGCTCTTCAAGTACTCATAGTCCTTTCCCAGCCCATAGCCAGTTGCCACAGGGACAACAACGTTGTCGATCATCCATTCCTTGTAAAGCAACATTTAACAAGCAATAAGCACATTACTGCCTGCAGCGTTGGCATTTATCTGATAAACTTTAATGAAGACCCATGCCAAACAGAGAATAACTAACTTCAGTAAGAACTACATAGGGAGGGCAGAAGTTACTAGAGGTAGGCAAGTTGATATTGGCAATAAATTAACAATGAATTCCACTCTCTTTTTACCATAGCCAACTTAATGTTTTGCTTTCTAAATCAAACTGAACAAAACTATTCCCAGCTGCGCATACCTGAAATGAGGTTGTTAATGCTTGAGTACTTTTATTGAAGTCAAGAACACATATTCTACACCCTGAAAACCCACAACGAAAAAAACAAAGAAAATTCAGATATGGTTCCATCACATTTCACTTTTCCAAAGACCTAAAGTATCAGACCTGGTTTCACAACTCGATACATCTCTCGCATGGCTTTGGGTTTATCTACCAAATTCCTTAGCCCATAACCAATTGTGATTGCGTCAAAGTAACCCCCAGGAAATGGCAATTCAAGTGCATTGCCTTCCACCCACCTGCATGGCAGTTGATGAAAGGGTTGTTTAAAGAACTTATGGTATCGTTAAAGTCAAGAGTCTCCAATAATATTAATCGTGACTCCTTGATCATCACGAGTAATCTTTTGAGTTGTAGTTTCAGCAATTGTGGGAGTAAAACAACTTAGCATTACATGCAACCCCCCCCCAAAAAAAAAAAAGGAAAAAAAAACAAAGCATATCAGCTTTTAAATAGATAATGCGTGCCATTATTCATGTCCCATACATTACAAAACAATGAGCACAACATTTACCAATGCTCACTCTATGTTCTTATAGCAAGCCTTCGCCCGCAAGCGTTGCCGGGATGAAGCAACAGATAACTGCTCCTTGGAGAAATCAAGACCAGCAACCTACAAGTAGTGAAAAGTATGCAACATGATGAAACATGCTACTGTTGCTAATATAATCATACTGCTTTATAATTTATAGGAATTGTTTGCACATTTGCATTGCCACATATAGGTCCATCTGCAAAAGCAAGAACAGGACTTCTGTACTACACAATGCGGTTTAACAGCAAGGAAACATATCTATGGAAAGAAGAAATACCATCTGCAAACTAATAAATATTCTTGACAAGCAAAACATGTGATACTCCTGAGAACAACTTTGAATGCGAAATTTCTACAAGAAGATAATTGTGACCACTAGTTTGCTAGATGATGGCTAGCTCATTTACCAAAATATTTTTCCAGGCCAAACACCCTTCATGTGGAGCAAGATTTTATAAAGGTAAGCCTAGCTGATGCAGCTAAAGAGCCATAGTCGATGATAGATTGAAGATTCTCTATTTTCTCAATACTACTAAGGGACACAACAAGAATTGTAATGATCCCCCCTAAGGGACACCATTTTAACTCAACAATAATCTTTTTGACTCAATAAAACTTGGATAATAAAGCTAATGGCCCATCGTCAAATTCTCTATCATGCCAACAAGTTACTCACAAGCTAGAAAAAGGGCATCCGCCCATCTCACTGTCCTATTCTATTTCAGGATACTCTAAGAAAAATCAGTGCTATAATGTTTTGGAACTCCTCAGAAGATAAACAATACAAACAGAAGCCCTTCCATGCGACACGACTTCGATTTTGAAACTCTTTTACAGAAGGCTTTGCCACTGAGCGTGTAGCACATAACTGTCAAATTCATACATGTCAATCATGGTGAACAGATAATTTCTAACTAGACAAGAATTCCCACATTAAAGTAACCATCTTAAGCAAAACAAGAAAGCTGGTCTCGCAAACCGAAAGGCGGAGATCGAGAGGAAAGAGCTGACCCTGCCATGGGGACCAACTTTCTCAGACAAGAGGAACGCTAAATCGCCACTCCCACAGCACAAGTCCAACACACAATCCCCCATTTTCGCCCTGTTCCACAAGCTTCAATTTAATAGAAATGCTCGGCAACCCAAATAAAAAGAAACAAAATTCCACAAGCATTCAACTCAAGAACAGAAAAATCACACGACCCAATACCCGCTCCACGAAACGGCCATGCGCTTCCAAATCCGATGCTGACCCAAGCTCAACAGGTCGTTTAACTGCATTCCGAACCAGAAGAGAGAAAAAGGTGAAGTTACGTGCTTTACAGAAAAAGCCAAAAAGGGAACGGAAAACGAAGGAGCTGGAGCGCGAAGACAATGTGGATAAGCACGTTATCGTAGACCGGAGCAATACGACCGAACAGGGCCTGGCGTTCGCTTGAGCACCGAATCGCGCCGCGAGTGCTCCGGTCGCGGTTCAGGCGAGCGCCGGGAAGACAGAGCACAGAGAAATGAACAGATGAAGCCATCTCTCTCTCTCTCTCTCTCTCTCTCCTCCGTAGGTTCCTCCGAAGGGGAAAGCATCATAAGCCCAGGCGACTGATATATATTTAATATTAGAAACCTTGTATTAAAAAAAATCAAATTCTTGCTCAAAAAACCCATATATATATAGTGTATCGTAAAAATTAATAAACTTTCAAGTTTTTATTTTCAAATCTTCAAGGAATCAATTAAATCAAGAACCCGAATATATGCCTTAGGAAAATGTAGACTTATCTAGCAATTATGCAAGTTATGATTGTTTAAGAAAAAAAAAGAGGTAAAGAAACGACGGATATACGCAACTCTTTTGACACAATAACTTTGGCTCGCGGACTTTTCACTCATCTTACAAGAGAAAAATAGGAATCAAACTCAATCCCTACACAGAAATTATCAATCCTGCACTTGCATTCTTTGCATTTTAGGTACTAGTAGCATTTAGACTGACTCGTTTGCATCAAGCATGCTGCAAGGGGGTTGGATAGGAACTCGATTAGTGGCCCGACATGAGAAATGAGCTTAAATTTTAAGTTTGGCATGAGAGAAGAGCTTAAAAATCAAGTTTTCCCACTTTCTTGGAGCATCAAAATAGTTAGGCTAGCAAGATCATGGGAACTACGACATTATGGGAGATCCAAGATGGTGGGAGCATGTCTTAAATCCAAGATCCAGGGAGTATGTCCTAATTCCAAAACTTCTCGGAACTTTGTCTTAATTCCAAGATGATGGGAGCTTGTTTTCCAACATCCTAGTAGGGGTGTAAAAAAAACCCGAGCCGACCCGGCCCGACCTAACCCGACCCGGCCCGGCCCGAAATTTTAGGGTATTTTGGGGTCAGGTCTTATTTTCTCTGGGTATGGGTTTTAGATGTGGGTATTTATTAAGATCGGGCCGGGTTAGGCCGGGCCGGGCTTTTTTGACCTGGCACCACTTCCCCCCCCCCCCCCTCTCCCCTTCGCTTCTTCTCTCTCGACCGTGAACATCTGTCTCCCCCCTTCCAGTTCAGCCATGGTCTTCCTCGCCTCCCACGCCCCCCCGATCCTAGGACTATGTCTTAGTTCTAATACTTTCCTGCCCTAATTCCAACATCCTAGGACCATGTCTTAATGCTGACATCTTTTGTCCTAATTCCCTTATCCTTGGACAATATGTCTTGATTCTAACACTTTTGTCTTAATCCAACATCTTTGTCCTAAGTCCAAACATGTTGGGTATTTGTCTTAACTCAAGGATTTGGGATTTGGTTTTAGTTTGGACAAGGTAGAATAAGGTTAACTAAAGAGGGGCACCGTTTTTGGGTAAGATAAGAAGGGGTTTTGGATCTAGTGTTAGTGCAGTGTAGCGAATCAATGAAACAGGAAGTGTTGGATCAATCCTAAGGCGCAAGATCTGATGGTAAGATTACGTCAAAAGTGGCACGGCTTGTGAACCATTGGATCAATCTTGGCCTTCCAAATATACGCCTCATGTGCGTTACACTCCCCAACACCCCTGTGGATCATTGGTGTCTGGTTAAGGTTAAACTCACCACAGAAGAGGAGCTGGAGCTTCCGTGGCATGTCTATTTGATATATGGTGATAACAAACTCTATAGATGCGTTCTTTATTTTAAAGTGCCGATCCCTGCGTATCCCGAATTCTCTCCAAATCTTTTTCTTCCCTAAAGAGTGAGAATGCACAATTGAAGTTGAATGTTAGATGTAACTTTCTTTGCAAAATTGAATGAAATCACCTGCTGTTACGC